TTTTTTTTTTCTGTTTCAAAATTTGAAGTTCGTTACCTTTATTTCCTTTTCAGTGCTCGGCCTTTGTTTTTTCTTGTCTTTTTTTGAACTATTAACACTGCGCGGCTCAAGGCCTCGATACGCCCTACTGGGCCCTATTTTCCGTACAGTCGGCCGCCCTAAGTGAAGGCAGGCTCGACCAAGGCCTACAGGCCCATTTTGGGGTCACCACGCAACTGAGGAATTTCAGGCAGTTGCGCAGCGCCAGTTGATTGACAGCGCCCAGGCCCAGGCTGCCTCTTTCGAACGTAACTGAGGCACGCCCTGGGCCAGATTCGCAACATGCACCGAACACAGGCCGCGGGCAGTTGGACACGGGCAACCACCACAGGCCCAGGGCCCGAATTCGTTCGGACTGGGGCTCAGCCTCTCTGGGCCTACCGGAAGCTTCTGGGCAGGAGGGGCCCAGCGCAGCCAGGCTGCACGCAAGCAGGCAGGCCATTCCCATTTAGGAAACTGCCTGCCCACGCATTCAGGCACTGGCTGCATGCTGCGCAAGCGCTGCTGCGCTAACGCTGGCCAGCGCTCACGCGCTCACGGGCGAGCTGGAAGGAGCAGGCAGCCGTAGCCGAGCTGCGCTGCTGTATGCTGGATGGGGCGCATGGTGGTTCTTGGGTGCATGTGGCATCTGTGAGTTGGGGAACGAGGTTGTGAGTGATACGAGAGACATACCCGGTGCTTGACGCGTGCGGCATTGGCCGAGGTCTGCTCGTACTTGGGAAGCTGTTGACGTCATCAGCGGCATTGTAGTCTAGGTTAGATAGGATCTGCCATTCGTACTCTGGGCGCCGAGCGCCAGATAGGATATCAACATTGGTTCTTTGTTGACGATGATGAGACTATTCCAGCATTGTCAATTACGAGGTTCTTTTGCTGTTCTCTTATTTGGTGGAACTCGTGATGCAATTCTGCTATTGGTTCGAGGTCACGACTATCTGGTCTCATGTGTATGATGCTGTTTGATTTCTGAAGTTCGCTATCGCTCATTTTCCTTGCAACACGATCTTCGATGTAAAGAAAGGCTAAGAAACAAATTGGCCAACCTACGACGGGTAGAGGATTTCAGGTATGGTCATTTGTTTCTTAGCCTTTCTTTCTCTCTCGATATAGCACCTGAAAATCAAACACAAGTTCAGACTCTTCAGAGAATAAAAAGAAACCGAACAAACAGTGTGCTTACCATCTGTCCCAAACACAACGCACCCTCACCATGTGAATCAGACCAGAAAGACAGGTTGTATACATTCAACGACTTGTTGCGCCTTCACCCGCAGACCCCAATTTTTTTGGGAAAAGGTTCCGAAGCAAAGGCAAAAAAGTGGCATAAAAAGGAGATGCAGATAAAAGAAGCGCCCCCCCATAGCAAAAAAACAAAATCTCTCCCTCTCTCTCTCTCTCTCTCTCTCTCTCTCTCTCTCTCTCTCTCTCTCTCTCTCTCTCTCTCTCTCTCTCTCTCTCTCTCTCTCT